ACATGATGTCCAGCCCTGCTCTCCTTAGAGTTTATATCTCACTTAAGGGCTGGTTTATGCTCAGAAACCAGGTGGTCTGCATGTGTCGCAGTGAATGCGGATATGCCCCGCCCCTTACACAGACACTCTGCTGCACCTTTCCATAATTGTAGGTGAGTGCAGACAGTGCCGCAGACTGGAGGCCTCTGATTGGTCAAATCTACATCCGCTCTACACTATGCGTTTTTATTGTCTGGTACCCTACCGGCTTGTTTTGTTTGTCTGGCCGCCATTGTGAAAAAACGACTGGTGAAGATGGAGCAGCTAGAAGAGCGAGGTGGGCGAGAACGCTGGGACCCTTTTTCCACCTGGATCCCCGCTCTTTTTGGCCCTCATGTCCCTCCGTTGTCGCACAAACTTGCCCCCACTTCCTCTCCGCCTCGGCCATAACTAGACCCTCAGCTAGTTCCTGATTGTCCCTCTTGCGTTGTGGTGTGGAATAACATAGTGCAGACCACGCTTCAATATTGGGCAGAAATCAAAAATACCTTCGACAAGCTCACTGAAACACACTGCTGGGGGAGGAGAACCAGCCTTTAAGGCTACGTTCATACAGCAGCCTGAAGTCACCCAAATCTGTTTTTTTTTTTTTTTTGCTCATATGTGACCTGGATTTGATCTTTTCACGGCAGTCTGAACAACACAGATCAGATTCTTTTTCCAATGCGACCCAAGCCACTTGGCTCTGTGGTCCTGAATCTGATATGAATCTGATAATTTCATGAAGGTCAGGTTGCATGACCTGAACGCCATTAATACCAGACAAAGGTCACTATTCCACTTAAACATAAAATGTTATGAAATAATTCCTTAGAAACAGTTTAGCTAATCTGAATGATAATTTTTACCTAATAGGATACCCCCCCTCCTCCCATACCTTTAGAGATAGGGTGAGGAGCTCAGTCATCCAGTAGGGACTCAGAGTAGAGCCGCTGCTCCTCCACATAGAGAGGAGCCAGTTGAGGTGGCTCAGGCATCTGGTTAGGATGCCTCCTGGACGTCTCCCTGGTGAGGTGTTCCAGGCACGTCCCTCCGGGAGGAGGCCCAGGGGGAGACCCAGGACACGCTGGACGGACTATTTCTCTACTGGCCTGGGAGCCCCCGCGACCCGACCTCGGATAAGAGAAAGAAGATGGATGGATGGATGGATGGATGGATGGATGGATGGATGGATGGATGGATGGATGGATGGATGGAAACAAGGGCTCAGAAGGTGTGCGTGCAGTGATTCCATCCAGTAGGGAGGATTTTACCCACAAAAGAAACACTTAACAGTGAGCTGCAAGACAAGCAGCTGTTTTAGAAAAGCTATAATATTAAGACAACTTCTTGTATTGAAATCAAATAAACGCAAATCTGACATTTTTACTCAACAAAATGTTTCAGTGATAATAAAGCTGAGGGTCACATATTTCACAGAGGTATTATAGATCTTCTTTCCCTTCCAGTCAAGCCAATTAGAATTATCCTGATGATCAAAGGCCAATGTTTTTGCTTCTAAAGCCGGGAATACACTGGATGATTTTTTTCAATCGTTGCACTCAGCCACAACTCACAGGGTACGAAGAAACCGCAGGGTTTAAAAGTTCCTAGCTCACGATGTTTGTTCTCACACTGTGCGACCCAACGCTCTGATGCAATCTACCTGCTCACTCTGTACATCCAAACCAGTAGAAGAGGAATATAAAGCTCACTAGAGTGAAACGCGCTGCCTTTCATATTTGGGCAATTTAGTGCTGAAAGCCCTAAAAAGAAAAGGAGACGACGTATTTGGACAAAGACATGGCTGAGAAAACGTGGCTACTATGGTCGTTAGAGGCTGATCTCCCCTTGTTACCCCCTGTACAGCTACACCACACACATTATCAGGATGAAAGTCGGCTAGATCGAAAATTTTCACACGACTGGAAAATCGGCCCCAAAAGGACAAAAAAATTGTACACTGTACGCCCAGCTTTACCAGGACAACTTGATGCTGAGTTCATGTTATTCCTCTTCTGAAGAAGAATCTCTGACCATCCTTTGTCCTAAAGTTCATTCTAGTTTGTGCATTACAACAATGAACTTAGGTGAACCTGTTCTATAAGAGCTACACCGAATGGATGGAAATAAACTGAAAAAACCCCCCCAACTAAATGAAGTGTTTGTAGGCCTAATCTAATTCATGCTCAAAACCCCTATAACTGTAATACAAAAATACTAAAAGACAGAGTGGGTTAAAATAGGTTATTCATATGCACAATAGGTTTAAAATATTTAAACAGTCAGTTAAAAAAANTGATCATATCATGAAGGCCAAGTTGCATTCATCAGTCCTGAATGCCATTAATACCAGACAAAGATCACTATTCCACTTAGAGTAACACAAACATAAAATGTTATGAAATAATTCCTTAGAAACAGTTTAGCTAATCTGAATGATAATTTTTCCCTAATAGGACACCCCCCCCCTCCTCCCATACCCTTAGAGATAGGGTGAGGAGCTCAGTCATCCAGGAAGGACTCAGAGTAGAGCTGCTGCTCCTCCACATAGAGAGGAGCCACTTGAGGTGGCTCAGGCATCTGGTTAGGATGCCTCCTGGACGTCTCCCTGGTGAGGTGTTCCAGGCACGTCCCAACGGGAGGAGGCCCAGGGGGAGACCCAGGACACGCTGGAGGGACTATTTCTCTACTGGCCTGGGAGCGCCTTGCGACCCGACCTCGGATAAGAGGAAGAAGATGGATGGATGAATGGATGGATGGATGGATGGATGGATGGATGGATGGATGGATGGATGGAAACAAGGGCTCAGAAGCTGTGCGTGCAGTGATTCCATCCAGGAGGGAGGATTTGACCCACAAAAGAAACACTTATTAGTGAGCTGCAAGACAAGCAGCTTTTTTAGAAAAGCTATAATATTAAGACAACTTCTTGTATTCAAATCAAATAAACGCAAATCTGACATTTTTACTCAACAACATGTTTCAGTGATAATAAAGCTGAGGGTCATATTTCACAGAGGTATTATAGATCTTCTTTCCCTTCCAATGAAGCCAATTAGAATTATCCTGATGATCAAAGGCCAATGTTTTTGCTTCTAAAGCCGGGAATACACTGTACGATTTTTTTTCAATCGTTGCACTCAGCCACAACTCACAGTGTATAAAGAAACCGCAGGGTTTAAAAGTTCCCAGCTCACGATGTTTGTTCTCACACTGTGCAAGCCGATGCTCTGATGCGATCTACCTGCTCACACTGTACATCCAAACCAGTAGAAGAGGAATATGAAGCTCACTAGAGTGAAACGCGCTGCCTCGACTATTTGAGCGATTTTGTGCTGAAAGCCCTAAAAAGAAAAGGAGACGACGTATTTGGACAAAGACATGGCTGAGCAAACGTGGCTACTACGGTCTGACAGTTTGACAGAAAGAACTCCATTTCACTCATTGCAGCCCCGCCATGCTTTTTTCCTTTTTTTTCATTTGCTTTTTTCCTATGAGAGGAGGAAGACGAAGAATCCTTGTTTGCCCACTGAGTGAATTGCCTACAACCACCTTATGACGGTCGACTGAATTTCAAACGTTTGATTTTATCCCAACTTTACGATTCCTGATGGGGAGGTGGTCGTTAGAGGCTGATCTCCCCTCGTTACCCACTGTTCACTACACCACGCACCATCAGGCTGAAAGTCGGCCCGATCGAAAAATTCTCATACGACTTGAAAATCGTCCCGAAAAGGACAAAAAAGTTGTACACTGTACACCCAGCTTTACCA